TATTTTGTAATGCTGTGCTTCTGTAAGTGGGTTACTGGGTCACAGTGTGTCTGCAGGTCTTGATTCCCTGCTGTGGGTCTAGAGCTGGCGGACGACAAAAACAGCTGCAGCATCTCCTGCATTTACAGCTTTCCCACTAAACATCCTTAAGAATATATATATATATATACTTCTGTGCGAGTTTGACCCATAGCTAATGCTTACTGAGGTAAATATTAGCTCTGCCTGCAAGCGCTCGTGTTTTTCCCCCTAAATGTTGATACTAGCAGCATCTGGGTGTGTTTACATGAGAGATAGTTCATTATATACACTCTATAGCAAAGTATTTGGTCTTTTTGTGCAGTATATGTGTGATAAACCTTTATATATCCAACTATTACCACATTTATTTATCAAACCATCAAATTTTACCGTAACTGTGAAGTTCAGGCATGGTTTTCATTTCCACAATGATAACAAAATGTAATCTGCTAAATCTAAATTAAGATTTTTTTGACTGACACAGCACATTATCATCGAACTGTTAAAGTGTGTCATTTTAAGTCCTATATATATAAAACAGCTCATTTTGGGGAAGCCCTCGGTTCGCCTTAAAACATTCCTTTATCGTTAAACCATAGCTGTGTGCTTTATCTTGGCAAACCTCATTGCTACTTTGACAGGGACGGCCGAATAGCTTTGGCTAACCAGAGAACCTCAACGTGGTTCGGCGATTTGCATCTCTGATGCCGGGTTTCCACAGGTGCTTATCACAGCTCAGCATAACAGAAAACTAAGAAGAATATCACTGTAATCAGTTTAATTATCGCAGTTGCTGTGTAATTTTAGTACGTGCGCCTAAAAGATGCGTGCATCTCTGATTATAGTGTGCTGTTCGTGAGGATGTGTACTAGTAAACTGTGTTTACATGATCTTGTCACATTACATTACATTTATGCTTTTATCTGATGCTTGCCAAAGTCAATTACATGAGTTTTGATGTCTGATTTACGATTGCTGCAAATTAATTCACTCTAAAATTAAATGATCTGAAGTCTTTGGTAATGTCTGGAAACAACATTAAATTGCAAAATCTGCTCTGAATTACTATATTGTTGAGTCCATGTGTTGAATGTGAATTAATTTTGTAATATTGCCAATTATATTAGTTGCATTGTTTATTATTGTAGTCATAATATGCATTATTTTCTGTTTTCTTTTATGCCAATCCTGAGTATTTTATAGTTTGTTCAGTAGCACTTTATTATAACTTTCATTTAAATTACATTATGTATTTGGCAGACACTTTTATACAACTTATACAACTTATGTTACTTTCATGGTTCATATTTTATCAAGGTTATGCATTTCATGGGAATAAAATCCAGCATTTCAGCATTGCAAATGCCATGCAAAAATGTATTATTTATTTTTATTTCATAACAATAGTCAGAGAAAGTCTGTAATGTGAAGTATGTTTGAGTGAAACAGGATATTCAAAAAACAAACAAACAAACAAAAACAGGTTTGTTAGGATAGGACAATATTTGGCCGAAATACAACTATTTGAAAATCTGGAATTATTTATATATATCTATATTTAAATATTATATATATATAATTAAAACCATCAGTGCACAATTTTCCACACCACAATCTGTCAAGCACATCTTACCAGCAAACATACACTCGTTCACATCCTTCTCTTCACTCTCTGAAGTCTCCAAACTCATCCTTTCTAATCATCCTACTTACTGTCCGCTTGATCCTATTCCGCCAGCGGAGAAAACATAATAAATCTAGGCTATATATATAATACGAATAAATAGGCCTATACGAGAAACATTTTTACTTAATAAATTAAGAAAATTAAAGAAAAACTGTGCAACAAGTAGCCTATATGCAGAGTTTCGGTTCATTTTTGTGCTGCGCGAAAGGAAACAGACGGCAGAAAGCGGCCGGCATCCTATATTTATTTAGGCTTATTTTACAAAAGCACAAAGATTTGTTTTTATTGTGAATGTACACAAATAAAGGCAAACCTTTTACAATTCCGATTATCTTTAGGACTAAAAGGAGTAGTTGCTTCCACTGTTAGAAGGAAAAAATTCAAGTGATTGTGCCGGCGCCGCGTGCACGCACACAGTTAAGCATTGCTACCTTGACAATGCAGCCTGTTCATTATCATAATAAAATACAGTCAGTCAAACATATGGAAAAAAACCTATGTAGTAAAAAAAATATGTAATAAAATCTGTGCCGTTAAGTGTTACCACCGCACCGCCGTGGTTATGCAAAACATTTTGTTTTATAATATTTATAACATAATAAATAATAATTTGCCATTCAAATGCATTGCGAATACGGAAACATTTGATTTTGTGTGGAATGAGAGACCCAACGTTGGTTTCAGTTTCGTTTTAGCCTAAATGAATTCGTTTTGGCTTGTCGTTTATAGCTTCTTATATTTTTAATTGTTCTTTTCTAAATACTGTTAATTGAAAGGATTTGTTGTGGAGTGAGGGGAACTAAAATAGCCTAGCTATGTTTACAGTGTTTATTATAATGTTTGTAAACATTTCGCGTCAGCATTAGGCCTATTTCTGAATGAAACAATCAAATGCGACTTATACGCGACTTGTTTTTTCCCCCTAAAAAACAAAATTTTTATACGCGTAGCGTATTTTAACCATGCAGCAAACCTTTTTAAATATTTTGATGAATTATTGAAAAAATAAATAATTAAATGACTTTTTAAACCATTTAACTGATTGTATTAATCGGTCAATTCTTCACGGTCGGTTAACCGGTTAACCAAGCACTCTCTATTCTAATTCTATTCTTTATAAAAACAAAAACTTGCCCCTTTTAGACTTGCATTATTATATTATTATTATATTTGTTTTCTTTTTATTTATTATACAATTATAATGCTGACTTTCTGACTTCTGACTTCTGATTAACAAAAGCAAAAAAGGCCTCTAACACTAGCTTGCTCTATTCTTTTTCTATTCTAGTTTTCTTTTTATTTATTATATGATTTAAAAAACCTTGCTACGTGTACTGTATTAAGCTAACTGAGGCTTGTTATAGCACTTGCATATCATTGCTCTTTTGTTGATTTTGATTGCTTCCATTGTCCTCAGTTGTAAGTCGCTTTGGATAAAAGCGTCTGCTAAATGTCTAAATGTAAATGTAAATATATATAAAATTAACATTATCCAAAGTAATTTCAGAGGATGAGAAAGATGTTGCATTTTAATGAAAGATTATGAAAAAAAATATTTTATTTGGAACAATGTGCACTATTGGATCATTCAGAATTAGACCAGGAATGTGTATTAAAAAGTAAATAGGGTCAAATTTGGTTTCATGTTGCCTTAAAAAAATGACACACTTCAGTTTTAAAGTTGCTCATTTTAGATCCAAATAGTCTTTTTAGTCGCTCTTCGCAAGCGGCAGTGAAATGAACAGACGGACTTTAATGTAAATACCTCAAGGAAAAATGTAAACGCTGTGCAGCATCTCAGCACTGTCTTCTCTTAGACTAAATCAGACTGACCTGATCAGAATCACAATGAGCACTCGTGATAAACACTGTCTGTCTGCCTCATCCTGTCACTCTGTCTTCATGTAAATAAGACCTGTTTGAGATAATGACCAGGGATGTGTGTGTGTGTGTGTGTGTGTGTGTGTGTGTTCCTCGAGTGATTTTAACAAGTTGCAGCTGGAGGTGATTTGCAGACAATGAAATTGTTCCTCAAGTTGATCACCTAAACACACACAAACACTTTAGCATGAGTGTGTGTGTGTGTGTGTGTGCATGCATTTAAAGCAGATTAACTGTGTGTGGTCTGCACTCCATATCTCCACCAGAGAGAGTGGAAAGGTGTGTGTGTGTGTGTGAGTGATTTTGTAGACAGTGTATCCAGTGTTTGTATGGTCAGCCGACCTCTAAACACATGAAACACTCCACACGGAGACGCATTTAGCTGTATACGCATACATTTTGTATCGTATATGCGTTTCGTCCACACGGATCCGGCATTTTGGGAGAGTGAAACCGATATTTTTTGAAACCGGGTCCCAGAGTGGATAAATCTGAAAACGCCGCCCTTGCGTTTTCGTGTGGACAGCGAATCCGTATATTTTCTGAAACGATGACGTCATCAGCCCACGTCTCGCCCCTAGTCAGACACCGCTACGTCACGTAACGGCAACAAAAACATGAACAAACACTGAATGATTGTCTTTTTATTAACTAACATTAACACAGATTAATACATGTATTGTTCCATGTTCATTTGGATACCGCACTAATTTATGCGCATAGTCTGAAGTCTTCTTCTCCGTTTTTAGTGTATCTCTGTGGCAGAATTACAGCGCCACATACTGGTCTGGCATGTATACTACATCGTTTTGTGTCGGTTTCGTGGTTTCGTGTGGACGCAGATATTTCTTGAGACGAGGGGGAAAAAAAAGATCGGATAGGGAAAGCTCTGGTTTCGTGTGGACCCAGCCTTGGCTGGATTTGTGTTCTATGGTCGCTCGTTCTGATCGTGCTTTAGGTTGCTAATGACATGTTTGTGGTTTTGTGGGCATAATGACTTAGGGCATTATTGCATACAGCACACACAGTAAACAATGTATAATGCATACTAGTTTTAACATGCATACTGACATGATAATATACTAATTTGTTGTCACGTTTCGTCACACAAGTTTTTTTTGCATGTTTAATGTATTTATTTCTTTTAAAGATACCTTAACTTTTACTGTCCATACTGTAAATATTTGTAAATAAAAATAATGACAAAAATTATAATGTAAAAAAGTTAAAATATATGAAAAATATTAAGCTATATAATATAATATAATATAATATCAAATAATATAATATAATATAATGTGTGAAAGCTATTTGAATGTGTTATAGTTTTTGAGGGACAGTTGTTGGTTTTTATATGTGTCTTGAAATGGCTGTAAACTAATTTTGTGTCTCTCTGTCTCTCTTTTTGCAGCTGAGCCAGCTGATCTCCTAAAGATTTTAGATTTTCACAGTTTGCCGGAGGGTGTAACAAAAACTACTGGCTTCTGCACACACCGGAAGTCGTCAAAAGGGCCTGATGTCGCCTACAGAGTCACAAAAGATGCACAGCTTAGCGCTCCTACTAAACAACTCTACCCCTGTGAGTACACACACACACACACACACACACACATGTCTGGTTTGCTATCCTTGTGGGGACTCTCCATAGGCGTAATGCTTTTTCTACTGTACAGACCGTATTTTCTATTGCCCGACACCAACCCTACACCTAAACCTACCCCTCACAGGAAACTTTCTGCATTTTTAGATTTTCAAAAAACTTCATTCTGTGTGATTTATTAGCTTGTTTACCCGTGGGGACCTCAATTTAGGTCCCCACCGTGACATGAGTCCCCATGAGTCTGTGTGTAGTCAGGTTTAAGTCCCCACCAGAATAGAAAAACAGGTACACACACACACTCACACGTGAGCATGCATGAATCCATAAACACATGCAGGTGCACCTGTTTACTTTTCTTCTCCATCTTTCCAGTGTTTGGGCTGCTGCTCTCTGTTCAGAGCACACAGACTCTCTGCCCTAAATAACTCTTTCAGAAACTCTTTCATCCTCCCATCCTCTGCAGACATACTGTATAATCTATTTAGACAGATGAGAGAGATGACTCAATGTTCTGTTAATGTGACCGCATTGGGCCAGAAACAGTTTCTATGCAAGTGCACAGACGCAAATGCTTGGCCAATGCATGGTCCCGTTGCATGTACAATTTTATTTTAACATGGAAAGAAAATTCTAATTAATTAAAAAAAAAAAGTTTTATTTTATTTTATTGACATGTGGAATCAAGTGTACATGGATAAAAACATGAAATTATACTGTTAGGTGTATTTTGGGTTTTACTGTATGTGTCGCTCTCTGACCTGTCTGTGTGTGTCTGAGCACCTCATCACTACACAGTGGGCCGCAGCCACGGTGCCCTAGACTCTCCTTTTGGCAGGAACTCTGAAAATCTCAAGAATTTGTTGGAAGGAGGGAGAGATGAGGCAGACGAGGAGAGAGATGCAATACCAGCATAATGAGACTAAACTAGATGAGACTAAATCAAACCGACTCTCTTACTTCAGCTCACACTGACTGTGTTCCAAACTCTAGTATGCTGCCTACATAGACAGTATTTTTAAGCTTCGTAAGTGTGTTACTGCTACAAAGGCTGTTCTAAATATATATATATAGCATATACATACAGTATAAGAATACTTAACGCCCCAATTTTTGCTAAAATCTAATGCATCATATAGCACAGTTTTCTTATTGGAGAAGGAAATATGTATGTAATGCTGAACATAAAAAAAGGTTTTATGTAATTAAATTTGAAATTAATTTTAAGGCAAAGAAAAATAATTATTCATTGATTGATTGTTATTAATTCATTGAAATTAAACAATAAAAAATAAGCAATAAAAATAATAAAACCCAGGAAGAAAAATGTAGAAATTTTATTTTATTTTATTTTATTTTTTTAATTTTAATTAAATTTTATTTATTTATTTATTTATTTTATTTTATTTTTTACATTGGCACTATGTATTTTTCTGCTTAATAAAGTTTTGGACTTTTCCTTAATCAAATTAGGACCTTTTCTAGATGTTCCCTTCCATTGTGCTTCATCTAGCCATTTTTGCCCTTAAAAGGCAGCTCAGTATAGTTTGTCCAATGTTTACTCGTTTGTCTAGCTATTTAAAGGGAATTCAATTTGTACTTGACTTCTGTTGCATTTGGTTTCAGCTGAATATGCTTATTCGTTTTTTTTGTCTTAATTCTAAAAAAAAAAAACACATCCCTTCATTTCTAACTCATTTTACCTTTTAGGATGTCCCCAGCTATCCCTAGAAGGGAGGTTTTGTCAGATTTAGCTCACTTCTGGGGATGATTTTGTCCCTTAAGTACAGCTAAGTAAACACACACGCCTGACTGCTTGAGAAACGCACAGGCAGAGTGAAAGAATATGGAAGAAATGAATCATCTATCACTCCAAATACAATGCATCTGTTATTTTTTCACTCAAATGCTCAGGATTTAATTTATACACACACACACACACACACACACACATGCAGCTGGCTAAGAAAAGCTCTCTTGGCCAAGAAGTTCTTCATCTTTTCTTAACTCCTCCTCCTCATGCATACCCATAAGGCCATTGTCTTTCTTTTGTGGCGTGTCTCCAGGGTAACAGAGAGGGGTCGTAGGTCACTGGAGTTCTGGTGATGGTTTGTAAACCTGCTGGAAAGCCAAACCTCTAGAAAGACATGATGGAAAAACAGAGCCAGGTCACAACAGTACAGACAGAGATGATTGTTCCAGATTTAGACATATGTATTTCAGACTCTAAAAAGGATATGCACCAATAAACAGCCTGATCTTAGCCGGTTTCCAAGTCTGGTCTGATTTGCTGATTTTAAAGGGGTTTTGAGAACTTGGCCAGGCTTGAAAATCAGTTTAAAGACCAGCACACCAGTTTAGACTACACTGTAAAAAATGAAATTTGTTTTTCACAGATGTAAATAAAACAAAGTTTACTAGAGTATGTTTTACAAGAAAATACTATTTAAATCTTTCTGCTTCAAAATTTCACATTTAATCCTGATTTTATAAAAAAAAACTTGCTTTAATCTAAATAAATAAATAAATAAATAATTGTAATTATTTTTAATGTAAAGATTAAATTTTTACAATTTACGAAGATTTTTTTTACGATATAAAAATATGATAATTAATTCAATTTAATGTAATTTTATTTTAAAATATAACCAAGGGAATTTAATTTAATTTTACTTTTTATTTTATTTTATTTAATTTTATTTTCAGTGTTTCAACTTCAAAATTTGATGTTTAATGCTGATTTTAAACTTGTTTTAATCAAATTAAATTAATTAATTAATTAATTATAATTATTTATAAGATGAAGAAACATTTATTTCTGTATCCATTAATTGATTTATTACTATATAAAACAAAATAACATAATTTATGATAATTGTTTTATTTTATTTCAAAATATAACCCAGGTAAGCAAATTTTATTTTATTTTATTTTATATTTTCAGTGTTTCTTCTTCAAAATTTGATTTGATGTTTAATGCTGATTTTTTTTTACTTGTTTTAATCGAAATAAATAAATGATAATTATTTTAAAGATAAAGATACATTTATTTATGAATATATTTGAAATAAAATAACATAATTTATGATAATTGTTTTATTTTATTTTAAAATATAACCTAGGGAAGCAAATTTATTAAAATGGAAATGAAAATTATTTTATTTATTTATTTTTACTGTGCTACTATGTGTAATTCAATGTGTTAATTGCTGTTTCTTTATCATTATTTATTAAATTTACTAGCAATTTCTGACTGAAAATTGTTCGCCATTTTTTTTCAGTGTAGTAGCTAATTCACAACTTTTCAGTCGTACTTATAGGCATGACCAGCAGGATGATCTATAAAAGAGGATCTTGAAATCACTTCAGGTAGTGGGTGAAAGGATTCAGGAGTAATGTGATTCCTCAGCATCCGTAGACTCCAGCATTCCTTTAGGTTTCTGCATAAAGACCTAATTCTGACTGGAGGGGAAGGGAGAGATGAGACCGTAGATATATGACGTCCTCTCTGAACTCTGGTTTTGTTTCATATTGCCCTGGTGACGGGCAGACCTCGTCTCCGGAGTGATGGCCCTTGGCTCTTGCCCTTTGACCTTCAGCTCTGTCTTTAACACAGGAAACCAGGACAAAAGCTTATTTTGTGTGAAACTGGTGCTTGCGTGAGCATGTAACAAACCTCATGAAATCATGTAAAGTTTCATTACTTATATACACACACTTATATGCATGCATGTCAGAGGGTTTTCTGGAGAAGGAACGGACTGATCAAGAGTGACATGAAGGACAAATAATGGGAAAAACAGACTCTTCTCTTCTGTTTTCTGTCCTTATCTTCTGTGTCTATTGCTTATAAAGCAGTAAATTATTCTAGAATTTTATTATGAACACTAAAGTGATCTAGAATATCACTTATCAAACAATAAAGCGGTGATAAATAGGGCTGGGTTTTGACACAAATTTCACGATTCGATTCGATTCTCATTCACAAGCTTACCAATTCGATTACCGATTCGATTCGATTCAATGTCGATTATTTTGGATATATATCAGGTACAGTACATGGCAAATTTTTTCAAGGAAAAAAAATCTCAACTAATGCTGTAAAATATACATGAGAGTCAGTTGGTATAACATTACTATAATATTAAAGGTTAAAATGAATGAATTTGTATACAATGCTCATCTCTAGAGTTCATTTTTTCTAACGAGCGCACGGATGGTCACAAATATATTTATAATGAATATGTTATATGGTGCATATAGAAAGCAAAATGCCCCTCTCTGCAGTTTATTTTTCTATCTGACTAATGAGTTCATAGTCACCGAATATGTTTTTTTCTGAGGTAAATGTGACGTTACGTGACATATTGTTTACAAGCCGTTATATTGACATCTTTGTGCGGCTGAAACACAGATTGAGCGATTACATGAGACAGGATACGGATTGTAAAGTTTTTAACTTACCTTCGGATGTTTAGTCATGTTTATTTTGTGCTGAAACTGGTATTGGAGATGATCAGTTCACGTGCACCTCGCGCTGCCGCGTCTGTTAAACTAGGGCTACAGCAATCTGTCACTCCACATTAAACAGCGCCAAAATGGCATTTATTGTTTAAACACTGCAATACAATGGACAGAATTTTAAATCTGAGACTTTGTTTCAAATGAAATGTACCAAAGCACAATGCTTATGCCTTCCCCTGGCCACGGGGAGTCGGGGACTTGGGGCAAAAATGTGTGATGCACAGACAAATGAAATCTATTACGTCTGTTGCTAACAAACTGAATATGAATAGACAGTGTCCATTGCGGCATTAAATTAAGATCTGCTCATGTTGCACCATATTTCATTTTAGGCATTTTTACAGTGTTGCGCATTTTAACCAATCACACACAATTCTGTTGAGCTTAGGAATGCAATGGCCAATCAGA